TCGGACTGGAAATCAATTATTACATAGGTCACGTTCAGACAAACTGCAAGTGCGACAAGATGGAGAGCTGGAGTCCCTTGACCCATTAGATCACCTGAAAGCCTTGAGTCAGTGTGAGCATTATTGCCGCCATCACCACGGCTTACTGCGTTCAAACATGCGTCTGCCCTGGGAATTTCCGATCGTTCTGAAAGAATAATTCTTCATGATTATCTTCTTTTGTATCCTTACAAAATAGAAATTGTGTAAAAACTTTCAGAATGTGAGTTCAATTTTCGGGTGGACGCGTGTGAGAGCCTTTTCGAAGTCGTCCATGAGGACGCTGTTCATTTAGTTATGCACATTTTTATTCTTTTTTTTATACTCCAACTACCACGAAGGCCTAAGGCCTAAACACCCATTGGGTACCGTGGGGCTATAAAGGGATACAGGGGAAAGGGGGACGGGGGTCAACACACAAAGCATGCACTACTGGGCATTTACCTAAAGTCGCTGTGTGGTGTGCAATTTGTGCAGCTGGAATTATTGGTCACTGGATCTTTGAGGAAAATGAAACCGTAGTGACAGTCAATTCGGACCTGTAGGTAAACATGTCACAGGATTTTTTCTACGGCTAGATGAGTTGCTCCAACAATAACATTTAATGGCACGCACTTCAAGGGCATCGATAGCGCTTTAGATGGAATACTTTCGGGAGCGCCTCATCTCAATCCGGGGCGATTGGCAGTGGCCGATCCGCTCTCTCGATTTGACCCTTTGTGATTTATTCCTATGATGTTTTTTGAAATCCCATGTTTATGGGAACCGTCCAAGGACCCTACATGTTTTGAATACCAATATTGAAAGATATTGCCAACGTAACGCCTGCTGTGCTGGCAAGCATCATGACAATCGAGTCTACACTATAAAAACCAATAAACATTTACTGACTGACTTTATCAGGGTTGCCTATTGGAGCAGCTGATCATTACACATACCTGGCTGCCAAGCTATGTAGTCTAGGAAGTATCTTCGTATCTGGTTGGAAAATAGTCTGATTAGGCCTTCTTGCATACTCGTGATCCATAAGGAACCCTTTCAGTTGCATCAAATATTGTTTGGATAATTTCTTTAACAAACACCAAAAATTTGTCTTTCCTATTAAAGAATGAAGGTTTACACTAAAAAAATCCTAAAATGCTTTGGGATGTTATCAATGGATGTTTGAGGGACATTTAGTAACTTTATAAAGATACGCCTTTTAGGTTTTTTCTGATGGTTTGTTATTGCACGAGCATCCCAAATGTGCAGATGTTTTGTTTCACCACCTGAAAGCTCAATTGTTGCGATGTCGTAGTACTCACGCATTTTGAGTGCACGAAAAGTCTAGATACACAATCATTAGTTGAAGGTTGCATAACAATCAGCTGGCGTGTTGCGGGTGGGTTTTCACGTTGTATAAGCCGTTTGGCATTTTCGGCGCAATGAGCTAGGGCGACGTGTCTGGTAAATCTAGATCAACAAATAGCCCCATGCTCGCTTATCGCTGAATATCTTTTAAGAGCAGAAGTGCCTACCTCAGGTGGTACAGAGCTTTACTGGCTTTGCAGATAAATAAGAAATATATTGTCCTTTAAATTTGTACTTTGAAAAAGGCCACCGTACTGAAAAACCTCAAGTTTTAGAAAGAAGCAAGTTTGACCGCAGAGTGAATCTACTACTTGTAATCTATACTTTGGCACTTAGTGAGAGACCGCGAGCATCAAGCTATATACTTTCAAAGTTATTGAGAGTGAGGCGTAAAATTTTATAGGAACAGCGCTTCCTGCAGCGGAAATCTATATGGGGCGGGCCTCGGTATGGGATCCAGTCTTGATCTACGGTGCACGCTCTTGGGGGTGCTAAAATTGGTATTTGTGAGGAAAGCACACGCAATGCTTGTTAGAATTGGTATTAGGGCAAATTGAGGATCACGATTTTTTATACACCAGAACAATATAAAGTCTGATAAGCTCGATATTAATCTTTGGAATCAGCGGCATTCCATCCGTCGTTCAATCGTCGGTAAGATATGAATCAGCGGTCAATGAGGAAAAGTATTGCTTCAACCATGACGTTCCCCCTTTCCCCTGTAACCCCCTATGGCCCCACGGTACCCAATGGGTGTTTAGGCCTCAGGCCTTCGTGGTAGTTGGAGTATAATACAAAAAATATGTATGTGCTATTTTGAAAGCGGGGACATTTCAGAAAAAAATGCAGGCGAAGATGAAAATTTCGTCTGGGATCCTCGTAACACTCACCGAATCGTGAGATCATGTAATGGGTAAGGTCTCTGCCTATCGCGTAGCTGGCCCCAGGCCGAGTCCAACTGCAGGATGTTTTTTTTCAACCATCAGATCAAAAATACCTTTTTGACCATACAAGCTCATTTCTTTTACTTGTTTTCAAAGTTGATTCATTTATTTTAACAGCTTGTATAACTCGTCAAAATAAGTTGATATAACATATCCTATATAAAAGTTTCTTATCAGCAGAGTTGGTGTACATTATTAACAATTATTTGTAAAAAATATTATGAACTTAAAAGAATAACATAAAAAGTGTTCAAAATTGTCCCCATTTGTTGAGTTAACCCAAAATCTTGTACGGCGAATCCACGACTCGTAACAAGCTTTGAAAATAATATCCTGGTGTCCACGAATCGAATCACAAGCATTTTCAGTGCGCTGTTGAAGTTCGTTCAGAGTATTTACTGCTCCATCATGATATACAAACTCTTTCAAACAGCCCCACAGAAAAAGGTCCCAAGGCGTGAAATCCGGGGAGCGAGTAGGCCAAGAAATGGGTCCATCTATTCGGAAACTCATTATTTAAATGTTCATGAGCTACCTTGTCTAAAATGTGGTGGAGCCCCATCATGTAGGAACCACATATTCCGTCTCGCATTTAGAGGAACATCTTCTATTAGTTAAAAAAAATAAAAGAAAAGCTAAATAATTTTCACCGATTAATCGAGGTACACAAAATTAATTTCGTAAAATCCTCATTTGTTGACAGAATAATACTTTCCTTGTCGTATTGTCTTTCACACTTTACTATGAGAAACTTCAACTTGAACTGCTATGGCTCTAATACTAATTGTCGGGTCGTCTTCGACCATTTCTAAAATGGCTTACTAAATTTGTCACATTTTAGGTTGAGCACGAAGTCTAATAACTAAATTTACAAATATCCGTGGAGCCAGATGATTTCTTAGAGGAAAGCTTTCCGCATACACCCTGCATGCTGCGGCTGGCATTCTCCGTGTGTTGGTATTATGTCCACTAGTTCATTGTTTTCGTAAACATGGGCCATTTTAAATTTAAAAAGTAACACATATAGTTTGCCAAATTTAGATAAAGATAAAAGACCCTATACGGGAGAATATCAAAAGATCTGTGCAATAAAATTATTATATGTTCATTTACTATTTTTTTATGCAACTTTTATATAGGTTGTTTTTGGTATATCAACTCCTTTTGACGAGTCCAACAAGCAGTTAAAATTATTTGCTCAACACATATTACATGCTAAGAATCTTTTTAGATGACTGAAATTTTGAGAGAATTTCAAACGAATAGCTCACCATATTTCGAAATTTTAGGCCAATATTATCAAGTTACCCTTAAGCATCGAGATTTTAGAAATTAACAAGTCAATGTTTAGTTTACACGTACAGGATATATGAAAATACATTTTTTGCAAGCGTGGGAAGTACGTTGTCAAAATATTTGACATAGTGATTTTAAAAATCACCGGAATGAAGAAAAAATAATAGTCTGTCGTTATTCTTCTGAAACGCGCCGATCTAAATCTTGAAAATATGCAAGAATTATCAATTATTTATAGTATTGACGTCCACAAAAACTACATTTATAAAATGACGTAGGTGTGGTAGCTATAACAGTCAAATCGCGGAGAGTAAAGCTCCGCATGGGTCTCATGTAAAAAACTAGGTAGTTTTTAGGGCGCAAACAGTCATTCCACGTTTGCTCACCAGGATCGTTGTGAACGTCCATCTAAGGAGGAATCACTCAACTAAACTACACGCATTATTGGTTGCATATGTTTTGTGAGGCCAAATGGTCATTGTCTGTAGTTTTTATCTCTGAGAAGAAGGTTGGTTGAATAGCAAGATCGCATTTGCTGTGTGAGAAAATCATTACTGAATATGCTGCCAGTGGAGTGCCTATATCTATTGGCTGTGCCCGACGGGTTATTTTTATGTTGTGCTTTCTGAAGAGAGGTTACGTTCAAAGTTATAAATTACGAAAAACTGAGAATTACGGGAAATCAACACGGCGCCCGCGTTGTGTGTAATTACTGTTAGCATGTATATGGCTTGCAATTCGACAGTGTACAGTGAATTTAATTATTTCTTATCTCTCTCATTTTTGAAATTCAGCAAATTTATATATGTGATTTCCAGAATGGATAAGAACAAGTGGATGCGCAACTTTCTAGCTTTGAATCTCAATTAAGTGTATTTGAGACAATAACCCTATGTAATTATCATCAACACATACAACTTACAGCTTAGACCTCCAGTAATGCCATCTCAGAAGCAGATTTTACATCACATCAGAGCCAAAGATTGAGGACAAGCCTCATGACGTTCAGACAACACGTATAACTAAGTGCTCAGTCAACATCTTGCAGAAACGAAGTCAAAAAAAAACAGCATAATGTCAAGAAAAGTCGGCATGATGTCCCTTTTCAAGATACGTGATATCCGTGCCGTTCCACTGCCAACTTCATCAGATTAGCTTCAGTGCTAAAATACAGATGTTACCAACGCCAGTCCTTGCAAATTCAAGAATCCTATCTTCGTGCACGTTCAATTGTATATTGTACCATTTCAACCTTGTCAGCGGTGAGGGTAGCATAGGATGTGCATATTACCACTTCGGTATTCCATTTATTATTCAACTTACACCTTTGGATTATTCATAACTAATTGCTGCCAGTTTAGTACTAATTACCCTGGTATAAATCTATCATCGGAAACACAAGTTTAACCAGTGGAGTCACGAAGACAACAGAAACAGGGACAAACACGTTATTTGGAGAGACAGAGCTTAGACACATTTTGTTCATTTGTAAAAGGTGACATTCATTACGTTAAGAGAAGCCCTGTTGTATGAAACTTCAAACTATGACAATCCTATAACCTGAGCATGTGACACTTGACGGCATACGAGACTTGCTCTGGGACAGTCGTACTAAAAACGGCCAATTTATGAAAAATATTTGGAAATGTCATTCTTAATTCGTCAAAGTGAATTAAAAAACGTAGTAATTTTACAAAATGCTAAACATTGCCTTTTTGTGATCATTCTATAATATGGCCTCAGATAGAGATAAAACAGTCTATCCACACCTTGTAGTTTTCGGTTAACAATACGAAGGGTGAACTGTGATGGATGACGAACATCAACGTCAGTGTAAGAGCATGAGCCCATCATCACCCGCTCCACAGGATAACATTGCTCCTTTTTATCTCGTAATCATTCGAAAATCTCCTGTAGCAACCAAAGCATTAGTTAGATTCTTCTTGTAAGCAGACAAATCAGGTTGCAGTGCGTGATCTTTACCATACATATGACCTTTGTATGGACATTCGCATTTCATCTACAGTCTAGGACTAAAGTTTGGTGAGCCAGAGTCGCTTAACTTGGTTCATTTTTCATGCCGTGCTACGACCCTGTATTTGACTGATCGCTTTTACCTATCCGACGTCCGGTCAGTTTTTTGCGTCGGGAGCTCGACAAGCCTAGACCCTATTACTGTTAATCAGCCTAGTTTCAATTTCATAGCTTGACACGGTCCGATCTGATCGATTTCGAACTAATTTTGATTCATTGTAATCGCGCTTTCATTTTCTATAGCCGTGTCAGGTTGTACTGTAATTAGCTACTTTTTCGCCTACGGTTTCTGGACTCAATGTATGATATGAGCATAATTATGCATTTTTAATTAACAACTAATAAAATGATCTCATGTCTGTCACCATTATGTATAAATCTTTGTAAGGACATACGGGATTTTTATTGACCTGAAAACCTTTTACTACCGAATCCGCCTAGCAACATGCACACAAATGCACCAGTTTTTGAAAAACATAAGAGTGACGTATTTACAATCAGCACTGGTGACATTATTACAACATAGAAAAAATATATACATTGTAACTACGTCGTCTGAAAGTTTTCTAAATAACATGCTGCCCAGGCCAACATCGAAGACGATACTTTAATACCAGCGTATCTCACCACCTTAAAATGTCTGTCGTCGCTGGATATCCAGGCACGTCCAATTTTATCGTGTCACCAAGATCCCCGCAGGCGTATGACCTTGAATTCACTGAATTTGGAGGTGCTACCCACCCATGAAATTCTCCCAAAATCTACAGACGTTGACCTTGTGTTCGTAGCTACTGTTTGAAACGCACTTGTTTGTGTCAAATCACTTCACGCACGTAAACTTTCAACAGAACTTTTTTGATTCTTCACAAACTGGAACTTCATATTAATATAGTTCCTACGCATGTTTGGATGAGTGAAATGTTTGTGAATGTTCAATGAGTCTTGTCGGCTTGTGATGACCTCTTTTGCGATCTTATCATGTATTGATGTGATGATCATGATGTGTCCATTAACGCACTATAGAGCTTATCGTGGGAAAAAACTCAGAGTGCAGCAATGAGCGCGTCGTACATGGTAGCCTTATTTATTAGGAATTGGTATGTGAAACTGTTTGTCATCGATGTCTGGTAACTTGATACGTACGTTGAATTATGCAAAAATCATTGACACATTCTTCAGACTACAGCGATGAGTATTTCTTGTTATTTATCCTCGTTGCAGTTCTTGAAAAATAAATGTGAATATTAAGAGTATTGTTTGTGGAACCCCTTATTGGAGCGAAGATTCACATAAATAAGTCTTATTGATAATGGAACGTCCTTCACTGATACCAAAGGTGCAACATATACAACCTCCACCTCCTACAATCCTCAAAAATGGTCAGGAGTCAGTAAAATAACAAAAACGAAGTTTGGGATGATGACTATTTTTTGGTTTTCTGTCCATAGCTCTGCCGCCACTGGGCCAGTCTTCAAAAAAGGACAGAAAGCCCTACTGACGGACAAACATAGAGATAGGCCATCGGAAGCAATTCATATGGCTTTCTGCGATGTAAGCGTCATTCAACGTCCAAACATATATCTCATTTTGAAAAAAAAATCGGGATCATAACACTTCCACGCCAGTCGAGCGAGACGTAGTAACTGTTGCATATTGCATTGTTCAAGCCGGTTCTGTCTTGACACAAGCAACCGTGCATCCTCGCCTAATTGGCCCATTGAGCTCAAAATTCACCCCCACCAGTAGCTAACGCCAGCCACCTCGGCCCAATCTGGCGGTCCATTGATTTCACAGATAATGGGTGTCTCCTCGAGGATGGGGATAAGCAGATCTGTATTGTGTTTAGTTTGCGGCTTTGCCCCAGTTTTAGTTCATTAGTTGCTTCGGACTTAAGCGGATAAGGAGCTTGGAGTGGGTGGTCAGAAGGGGGTAGATTGGGTCGCAGATGTGTAGCGTTTATCTCGAATTAAGTGTGGTGAGGATTTGTCGTCATGCGCCAGTTTGCTGCAGAGCTGAAATGGTGCTGATGCGCGATTTGACGTTGTAAGTCTGGCTTAGTGAGGCACAGACGTCACCATCTGTTATTTCATTACTATTCTGAACAATTTGGTCTTGCACTAAAAGCTTCGATTATGTCTAACACAAACGTAAAGACAGCAACGTCCTAAAGTTCCGTTATTTAGGTTTTATTGTATCTATGCCTAATGTCTTGGTTGTTGTAAGCACAGTGTGATGTATAACGATACTGACTCTTTTATTCTCAAGATTCTGTTACTTTACAAATATATATATATAAAATTTCATTCCTGGGACGTGAATGTACTGGGTAGGTGGTAATATACTGTGATACTGACTCATTTATTACCTAATCATGCTTGAGAACTGTTGATTACTGTTTCGGACTTGAGTAGGTATAAAGTCGGACCGAGTCCTGCTGACTGTTCTATCCCACGTACTTCGCTCTTTGCATGTTAACCATCTGAAGATAGGTTTTCGTGCCAGGCTCACATATGAGATCCGTTCATTAATTAACAATTTCATGGAGTAACTTCTTGCCAACAATTCAGTAGCTCCATCTGACAAGATAAAATTTCTTGATTTACTCAAAGTGTTGTGACAGACAGTCCGTCACTATAACCCAACCTGAACTTTTGTCTCTGACTAATGACTGCAACAGAAGAAGGAAGACAGAAAAAGAACCTTTAGCTTCATTCATGTTTCTACATGTTTTTCTAGTGCCACTCAGTAGTCCATCGATATGCGGAGCTCAGACCAATCAACCTATTAGGGAGAATCAGGATAGATATATTATAGTTCTATGTAGAAATTGAATATGCCTTTAGTATCCACAAAATTTCCTCTCAACCGACCTAACATCTCCAAGTTTCCGAGATCTAATGATGAAAGCCGAAACTGAAACACCCTGTACAAGACCTAAAAACCTGAGTTAAGGTACTTCAGCGCAAATGTCCTCGCCGAATAATATCACAAATTTTCCCATTTCCACGGCTGAGCCACAACTTACCCTTTCGCCATCAGGTTTTTCTCTTACGAAATTAAAAGGGAAGAATATTTTAAGTTTTTCCCTTCGGACACATTTTCGCGGGTCTTTTCTTTGCCAGGATGACGTCGAAACGGTCTGGCTGTTAAACGGAATTTAGTATGGCACAATGCCCGGGAAAAGGAAACACCGTTCGCGTTCGGTCGTTTTGCCATTTTTTCCTTCTTGCTTGCTCTCTCACCCCGGTATACCCCCATTTCACTGGCATCAGGGAAGGACTTTGAATTTGATACAAAATCCCCATATATAAGGTTGGATACTTGAATGCTAACGAATTTAATTCATACTTCTCAAGTATAGTACGGACGCTCATTGACAATACTCCTCCAGCAAATCGTGATGCCCTAGACTAATTGGTTCATATTGACAACATCGACACTTTCTTGTTCAAGGAAGTATCCTACAATCAAGTCAGATCAGCGATTTCATCACTAAGAAATTCTAAGAGCACAGATGTAGATAACTTGAATTCAAAAATTATAAAGACAAATAATACTTTTCCTAAGATTCTCAAGATATCCAAAGTCATTCGAATACTTAAAAATGGATCGGGTGATGTGTTCTCTAGCCAGTCACATACTTTGCTAAGATTTTTGAAATTCTGCTAAAGGATCATCTTACCCCTCATCTCGAGTCAAGTCAATTATTTAATGATAAGCAGTTTGGATTTAGACAGAACACATCTACAACTACAGCAATCAATTGTCTTATAGATCTTGTTATCGAAGGATTTGAGAACCATCTACATATCAAGGCAGGACCTTTTCGATTTATCTAAGGCTTTTGATTGTCTGCAACATAGTATTTTAATAAAAAAATAGCTTATTATCACATTCATTTTTCTTGCAACAAGGTTTTAGACTCTTACTTATCCGACAGAGAACAACTAGTACATTTCAATGTCTGTAACTCTGATACCAGATCAGTGATCCATGAAGTTCCTCAGGGTTCCGTACTGGGACCACTGCTGTTTTCATTATATATTAACGATATCCCTAACAGCACAATGCTGCTTTGTTATTAAATGCTAATGATACGACTTGTAAATTCTAATAAATATGTAAATACCCTTGTCGAGACCAGCTCAATGTGTAAGTCGGACCTTGAGGATTGGTTTGCTGCCAATATGTTATTGCTCAATATGATAAAACTCAGTCTAAAATACTGAGCTTACGCAGTCATGAGTTGGAATCTGCTCAATCAGTGAAATTGCTAGGAGTACATATTGACTGTGCTCTAACATGGGAGTTGCATACTCGCTGTATGGTGGACTGTTTGTCCTCATACATAGTCTAAATGATAGAGTATCTGATACATTCTTATTAACTGCTTATCATTCATATTTTCACTCTAAAATAACATATGCAATTTTGGTATGGCGACACTCTCCACATATGCAAAAAGTGTTTTGGCATGCAAAGGAGTT